GTGTGTGTGTATATATATATATATATATATATATTAATACAATATTATTATGAACATTTTATATACATAGTGTATATATATGTGTATATAAATATATATATTTATATACATAGTGTATATATATGTGTATATATATTGTATTTCATTTGGAAACCAAGGTCTTAGAGTATGGAGGAAGGGTGGAGAAGCTCATAGCCCAAGTTACTTGAAGTCCTAAAAGAACCAAAGACTTAAAACTACTTCAGTCTGTGTGCATTGAATTTATTTTGAATTGAATAAATTTTCAACTCAAATTCACAATTTGAGTTGAATTACTGAAATAAATGAACTTTTCCACGACATTCTAATTTATTGAGATGCACCTGTATATACAGTGTATGTATATATATATATTAGGGGTTACATCGACTAGTGGACTTCAATGCTCTGCCATGACGTCGACTAGTCGCTGGTCCTATCCACCTTTTTCTTGTCATAAAAATGGGCGCGGCCATTTGTAATTTCTATGGGTCTGGCTTCCGGTCTCATCTGCGTATAGAGGGTGCAACAGGATATGAAATCTTTGAAGGATTTCCACATGTGCGCTCCGTTTTCAAACAGTTAAAATGACAAATAAATGCATACTCTGAAAGCGCTCCACAATACATATGTGATTATATTACTAGATGCTCGAAACTGAACGGGGAAATGCACGTTTTAAACAGCTTACTTTACAGGTAATCGCCGTTCTAATCTAATACACTGCTGCAATGTAACGCACACACATAGACTACAAACAGTAGCTCGCGCAGATCGCGCGCACACACAATCATTCAGCGCGGAAATGTATTGTCAACACTGTCCTGTGATTTCTCAATAAAATAGCTTAGAAACTGAAAACTGAAAAGTTGATTTCGAACGAGCAGAAATCTGTGAGAAATATAACGACCCAAAGACAAAAGGACTGATAAAAGAGCTGTTATAGGAGCATGTGTCATATGTCATAGCTGTGCACGAGCTGTTTGTCACAGCCCCAGACTTATTTGTTCATTAATGACGTCATCCGCGACTAGTCGACTTCGACTTGACTTTCATCACATAAGTCGACTTCAAAAAATCAGAAGTCGTAATGTATTGTCAACACTGTTCTGTGATTTCTCAATAAAATAGCTTAGAAACTGAAAACTGAAAAGTTGATTTCGAACGATCAGAAATCTGTGAGAAATATAACGACCCAAAGACAAAAGGACTGATAAAAGAGCTGTTATAGGAGCATGTGTCATATGTCATAGCTGTGCACGAGCTGTTTGTCACAGCCCCAGACTTATTTGTTCATTAATGACGTCATCCGCGACTAGTCGACTTCGACTTGACTTTCATCACATAAGTCGACTTCAAAAAATCAGAAGTCGTTCAACCCCTAATATAGATATATAGATATATAGATAGTAATTGAGGAATTTTATTATTCACTGAACTACTGAACAATGATTTCTTCATCAATAAAATAGCTTAGAAACTGAAAACTGAAAAGTTGATTTCGAACGAGCAGAAATCTGTGAGAAATATAACGACCCAAAGACAAAAGGACTGATAAAAGAGCTGTTATAGGAGCATGTGTCATATGTCATAGCTGTGCACGAGCTGTTTGTCACAGCCCCAGACTTATTTGTTCATTAATGACGTCATCCGCGACTAGTCGACTTCGACTTGACTTTCATCACATAAGTCGACTTCAAAAAATCAGAAGTCGTTCAACCCCTAATATATATATATATAGATATATAGATAGTAAATGAGGAATTTTATTATTCACTGAACTACTGAACAATGATTTCTTCATACCGTCTACAAGAACATCCTGTAACCGTGGTAAAATCACTGTAATGCATGGTCTTTTGCTGTGTGAATCCCACTTCATTTTGTGGTCACTATGTCTTGTTCAAGTCCACGTTCCAACAAATGTTTTGTCTATCCAATATATGAAGCATCGGTACAGCATTCTTTACCTGCTTGTTTGGCAGTGTATGGCTGCTTTCAGATCTTCCATCAGACCTTCAGCCAAACTGCTGACAAGAGCTCGGGTCACTACCGTCCCATCATCCTCCAATCTCACTTGGTGCCGAATCCACTGCCAAACCTTACAAATGCAGCCTCTTAGAATAAGAGATAATATTATATTGTAGCATGTGAGCTTTGAGTGAACCAACCTGAGATCTGGATATCTCTGCTGTTGCTGAATCCTCAACCTTCCCCAGATAGAAGAAATGACCTCTGCCTGTTGTACAAAGTCAATATCAATAAAACCTCTATTCATCACATAGCATAAAAATGTTGTATAAAAAGTCATTAGTGAAATAAAGTTTTGCACCTGAAAGCCAGGCTTCAATGAAGAGGACACCTACAGCAATGTTATATCTCAGTCCGTTCTGTGTTACTCCTCCCTATGGAGATATAAAGCACACAATACAAAGGCAACAGCATTTACACTCACCACACATTTATTATTCTGTTAACATGATTTGCAGTGATAGAATTCAACTGACCGCAGGCATAATGAGCAAGTCTTCAGGGGTCACAGTGATGTCTTCACGAAGCTGCAGGAGTTGATTCTGACCATGAGAGTGAAGCTGAAACAGCTGTGTGAGAGAGAGAAATTATGTTTTTATATGCATATATGCAGAGGCGGACAAAGTACTCAACTCTATTACTTGAGTGAAAGTACAGATACTGCTGGTCAAATATTACTCCAGTACAAGTAAAAGTTGTAAAGCAAAACAGCAAGACCTATTTGACATCAAAAATTTTTTTTTAAATGCTGTCTAATCACTCTCTCGTGGTACTTTGATGTCACACACAGAACGGTCTGTGCAGTGCTGCTTCAAGTCCAACACCTTTTGTGTTTTATTAGGAGATGCACAACAGTTCTTCTGTGGCTTTATAGGTAATATTAGCCCCAGACTTATTTGTTCATTAATGACGTCATCCGCGACTAGTCGACTTCGACTTGACTTTCATCACATAAGTCGACTTCAAAAAATCAGAAGTCGTTCAACCCCTAATATAGATATATAGATATATAGATAGTAATTGAGGAATTTTATTATTCACTGAACTACTGAACAATGATTTCTTCATACCGTCTACAAGAACATCCTGTAACCGTGGTAAAATCACTGTAATGCATGGTCTTTTGCTGTGTGAATCCCACTTCATTTTGTGGTCACTATGTCTTGTTCAAGTCCACGTTCCAACAAATGTTTTGTCTATCCAATATATGAAGCATCGGTACAGCATTCTTTACCTGCTTGTTTGGCAGTGTATGGCTGCTTTCAGATCTTCCATCAGACCTTCAGCCAAACTGCTGACAAGAGCTCGGGTCACTACCGTCCCAT